GGAGAGCTCGCGGAGTCGGGCCTGTGCGTTCTGCGTGACGCCGGTGCGTGCCCCGGTGCACGGGGCTCCGACGCCACCAACGACTGAAGCCCCCGCGCCTGCCGGGGCTCTACCGCCTCGTCGACCACCACAAAGTTGGGCAGTACCCCCGTCGTGTGGTGGGCGCCGCTGCCGCCGCCTCTGCCGCGGTGGCTGTTGCCGCGGTGGCGCGCCTCTTCGCCGCGCCGGTGGAAGTCCACAACGGAGCGCAGAATGCTGCGAAACTCCGCGCGCTCCGCCTCGTAGATCGTCAGGCGCTCCTCCAAATCGGCTATGCGCCCCAAAAGTCGTTTCTCCAGCTCGCCCACAAACACCTTGTCGGCCTTCTGTGCCACGGCGGCACGGTCCGCCTTGTCCTGCAGCGTCGCGACAACCTCACCGCGCTGCATGTAATTTTTGTCAAATATCTTCAGTCGGCGCTCCACCTCGCCGCCGCCGCCGCCGCCGCCGCCGTCGGCTCCCACGCCCCCAGCGGCCACAGTACTGCCGCGGCGGCCCATCTCCTTCCGCATCTCTTCCCGCAGCGAGACAATGGAGTTGCCGAGGGTCATGGACTGCTCATCCCGCGCCTCCCCAAGGCGGTCCATCATGTCCCGAATAAGAACGCGTCGGAACTCCACGAGAAGAGGCGCGCCCCGCAGTATCTCCTGGAGCTCGCTGCTGTCTCTTCCAGACTGGCTCTGCCGATGCGGCACACTACCACTGCGGAGGGCCTCATCCTCACCGTCGTCCACGGCGTATGTTTACACTACAGTACTTCTTCCTATTCCAGCGCAGTCGAAAACGAAATGACAAAGTAACAAAGAGAAGGCGAGAAGATAAATAAAACAAAACAAAAACAAAATACGCACCCCAATAAGCCGGGAAGGAGCGCCGGAGCTCGTGGCTCACGCGGAGCCGGACGCATGTGTGGCGTCGGTGCGTCAGAGACAACAAAAAGGATATCCGCGACAATGTGTGAGAAACGAGTCACAAAGAGTGGGGTTTCTCACTCGGGGTGCACAAGTTTGGCTTCCTTCTGCCGCCTGTACTCCAGCATCTCCTCCCGCACCACTTGGATGTGGTCCTCGCTCCGCGGCAGAAGAATGCGGCGGATAGCGCGCAGTGCGTCAATGCTCGTGGGGCTTGCAGCGTATGAAAGACGAGCAAAGTCCTCTTGCTGCAGAGGCGTCACGAGCGCACTGTCACCACCACCACCTCCGCGTATCCTCCTCCAAAGGGCACCGACAACACTGTACGATGCTCGGCTGCTTGCTGCGGACTCCTGCAGGCGCCGCATCTCGCGCTCTGTCTCCTGCCCCTGCAGGGCAGACAAATAAAGCTGCTCGTGCGTCGTGTCCATCGGGTGGTGGACCTTGACTCGGTCATGTGCTGTCGTGGACACCAAGGACGCGCGCTCCTGTGTCGGCGCCCGCTGCGGCGCAGGGGAGGAGGACGGCTGTGCGTGCTCGTCGCCCCTCGCCCCGCCTGTCCCCAGGGCCTCCCCCAGCCCCGCGGCAAGAGCACCTTCGCCGGGCACGCGACTCATGCCGGTGGCGTTGTTGCCTTCGTTGCCGTCCATCGTGGACGCACGCAGCCCCTCCACCCGGGCCGCCTCCGCATCAAGCAGGCGGCGCTTCTCACGACGAACGGCCTCCACAACTGGCCGGAAATCGGGCCGGTGGGCCTGCAGCTCCGCCCGCGCCCGCTGCAAGTCGCGCCGGAGGTCCTCCTCAAGTCCGCTCCGCGTCTCCTCCATCGCCTCCACAAAGTCGTCGTAGTGGTCCGCGAGCAGCTTCAGCTCGTAGTGCTGCTGTAGGCACTCCATCAGCACCCACGCCGTGAGGGCCTTCAACAGGAGCGTGCCGTAGTAGTAGAAATTGTCGGTGCGCTCCCATCTGGTGTACTTGCTGATGACGTCCTTCAGCTTCGTGACGTTCCGCTCGAACTCCTCGC